AAAAAAAAAAAAAGAAAATCTCCTCACTACACATTATCTGTGAGTAATCCTTAGGTGAACAAGTAATCAGATTACATAGTAAGATATATCCATGTTTAGACTGTCCATACATCTATGCAGTCTTTGCTTTACCTGAAGGGCAGGGTCATAAAAATGACTATGCAGGGCGGTGCCTATGGCTCAAAAAAGTAGGGTACCGGCCCCATATGCCGGAGGTGGAGGGTTCAAACCCAGCCCTGGCCAAAAACTGCAAAAAAATAAAATAAAAAAGACTGTGCAAGCTGGAAATGCAAAACAACCTTGTCAAATGACAAGGTCTTGCTCTTATCACCCAGGCTGAATTGCAGTGGCATGATCATAGCTCACTGCAACCTTGAAACTCAAGCAATCCTCCTGCCTCAGCCTCCCAGGTAGCTGGGTCCACAGGCACATGCCCCCATGCTTGACTACTTTTTAAAAAAAAAATTTGTAGCAGTAGGGTCTCACTGTATTACACAGGCTGGTCTCAAACTCTTGCCTTCAAATGATTCTTCTGCCTTCAGCTCTCAAATTGCTGGGATTACAGGCATAAGCCATTGCCCTGGGCCTCAAAGCAATCTTAATCAATGAGAATAATTATGATTACTTTGTAACCTCAATAGATCTTGTGAAAATATTAAAAACTTTTCTTACTACCAGTTATTAATGTTTAGAGAAATGAAAATATAGTAAAGATATTTATTTAGTACACCATAATTTAAAACAAGGCCCGGAAAAAAATTAGAAACAAGGCCAGGAAAAAAAAAGAAAAGAAACAAGGCCAGGCATGGTGGCACACACCTGTAATCCCAGCACTCTGAGAGGCCAAGGCAGGTGATCGCCTAACCTCATGAGTTTGAAACCAGCCTGAGCTACAGCGAGATCCCCATCTTTAAAAAGTGCCAGGAATTGTGGTGGGTGCCTGTAGTCCGATCTACTCTGAAGGCTGAGGCAAGAGAATCACTTGAGCCCAAGAGTTTGAGGTGGCTGTGAGCTGTGCACAGCACTCTACTGGGGGCAACAAAGTGAGACTCAAAAAAAAAAAAAAAATTAGACACACTGAGAATTGTTTTTTCTTTAAAAACTTACCAAAAATAGTGTATAAAGTGCTTACTGCTTTCTTCCCAAACAACTTATATAAGTAAGCATCTTTTCTATGCCTTGGCAAATTTTCATGGTCATTTCTAAGTTTAAATCAGCTTATCGTTTATACTTTTTTTTTCTTTTTTTGAGACCGAGTTTCATGTCGCCCTCAGTACAGTGCCGTGGAGTAACAGCTCACAGCAACCTCAAACTCTTGGACTTAAGCAGTTTTCTTGTCTCACCCTCTCAAGTATTTGGGACTACAGTCTCCAGCTACAATGCCTGGATTTTTTGGTTGTAGTTGTCATTGTTGTTTGGCAGGCCTGGGCTGGATTCAAACCTGCCAGCTCTGGTGTGTATGGCTGGCGTCCTTAGCCGCTGAGGTACAGGTGCTGAGCCTATCATTTATACTTTCATTAAATTTTTATTGAATATCCACCATAGATTTTTCATTACTGTGCTAAGAAAATATCTTTTTTTTTTTTTGAGACAGAGCCTTAAGCTGGCCCCTGGGTAGAGTGCTATGGCATCACAGCTCACAGCAACTTCCAACTCTTGGGCTCAAGCGAGTCTCCTGCCTCTGCCTCCCAAGTAGCTGGAACCACAGGCGCCCGCCACAATGCCTGGCTATTTTTTTTGGTTGCAGCCATCATTGTTGTTTGGCAGGCCCAGGCTGGATTCAAACTTGCCACCTTAGGTGTATGTGGCTGGTGCCTTAGCCACTTGAACCACAGGCACCAAGCCAAGAAAAGATCGTTTAAAGGGATTTGCAGCTAATTTTATGGCTGTAACTTGAGTCTTTCCTTGAAATGTCAGCTTTGAATGTGCCTAGTCATATTCAAGAACTGACCTGGATTTCTTAGATATAAGGCATCCAGGTAGAAATTTGTGAAGGAGTAATAGGGACTACAATAGAAATGTCTACTTCTTTACTGAGGACAGAAGTCCCAGCTTCTTTCATAAGCACCAGAATTATGGAAAGATTTTTATTAAGCAATGACTATTTCCTAGCCATCTTAGTAATGCAGAGAGTTTCCAAAGAATTGCCAGCAGTAATTTTCACATTGTTTGTGCATATTTTATTTTTTTCTGAGTCTTACTCTGTTGCCTCAGGCTGGGTGCCATGGCATCAGCCTAGCTCACAGCAACTTCAAACTCCCGGGCTCAAACAGTCTTCCTGCCTCAGCCTCCCAACTAGCTAGGACTAGAGGTGCCCACCACAATGCCCAGCTAATTTTTTCTTTTTTTTTTTTTGACACAGAGTCTTGCTTTGTTGCCCTTGGTAGAGTACTGTGGCATCACAGCTCACAACAACTTCAAACTTTTGAGCTCAAGCAATTCTCTTGCCTCAGCCTCTCAAATAGCTGGGACTACAGGCCCTTACCACAATGCCTGGCTATTTTTAGAGATGAGACCTCTCCCTTGCTCAGGCTGGTCTCGAACTCGTTGAGCTCAGGTGATCCACCCACCTCAGCCTCCCAGAGTGCTAGGATTATAGATATGAGCCACCACGCCTGGCCTTCTTTTTCTTTTTCTTTTTTTCTATTTTTAGTAGACATGGAGTCTCACTCTTGCTCAGGCTGATCTCAGACTCCTGAGCTCAAGCAATCCTCCTGCCTCAGCCTGCCAGAGTGCTAGGATTACAGTGTGAGTCACTGGGCCTGGCTGAGGATGTTTTGAAAATAGATTACATGACTATAATTCTCTCGTAATAGTAAATAATGAAATATTTTTACTTTAAAAACATACTATTGGCTAGGTATGGTGATTTATGCCTGTAATCCTGGCACTCTGGGAGGCCAAGGCAGGATTGCTTGAGGCCAGTTCAAAACCAGCCTAAGCAAGAGGGAGACCGCTATCTCTACAAAAAAAAATAGAAAAAATTATCTGGTTGTGGTACACATACTTGTTTTCCCCGCTACTCAGGAAGCTGACACCAGAGAATTGCTAGAGCCAGGAGTTTGAGGTTGCCATGAATGATGATGAAGCTACTATACTTTAGCCTGGGTGACAGAGACTCTATCTCAAGAAAACAAGGGCTGAGCTCCCTAGCACTCTGAGACAACGAAGTGGCAGGATCATTTGAGGTCAGAAGTTTTGAGACTAGCCTGACTAAGAATGAGACCCTATCTCCACTAAAAATAGAACAATTATCCAGGTGTAGTGGCATACACCTATAGTCCCAGCTACTCAAGAAGCTGAGACAAGAGGATTGCTGGAGCCTCAGAATTTGAGGTTGCTATGAACTAGGCTGAGGCCATAGCACTCTAGCCTAGGTGACAGAATGAGATGCTATCTCAAGAAAAAAAAAAAATGGCACCTGTGGCTCAAGTGGCTAAGGCGCCAGCCACATAAGGTGGCAGGTTCAAATCCAGCCCGGCCCGCCAAACAACAATGATGGCTACAACCAAAAAATAGCTGGGTGTTGTGGTGGGTGCCTGTGATCCCAGCTACTTGGGAGGCTGAGGCAGGAGACTCGCTTGAGCCCAGGAGTTGGAGGTTGCTGTGAGCTGTGACGCCACAGCACTCTACCCAGGGTGACAGCTTGAGGCTCTGTCTCAAAAAAAAAAAAGAAAAGAAAAGAAATAAAAAGGCTTCTCCTGTAGCTCAGCAGCTAGGGCGCCAGCCACATACACTGGAGTTGGTGAGTTTGAATCCAGCTTGGGCCTGCCAAACAACAATGACAACTACAACCAAAAAATAGTCAGGTGTTGTGGCAGGCGCCTATAGTCCCAGCTACTTGGGAGGCTGAAGGAAGAGAATTCCTAAGCCCAAAAGTTTCAGTTGCTGTGAGCAGTGATGCCACGGCACTCTACCAAGGGTGATATAGTAAGAATCTGTCTTAAAAAAAAAAAAAAGAAAGCAAATAACAACAGCAACCAAAAATACATATTGACATACCTGTAAAAGTCAGTTGGTTGAGATAATAATTGTGGGAAAAGATGTAGAATTGTAAGGGGCTGGAAGAATCTGTGCACACAGTGGAGAGAGAATGAGAAGCAACTCCTGTGAAAGGATAGCACTAAGAGAAGCTTAATCTTTAACATTTACTTTATTTTTGATCAACACACTATTGCCAACCCTTAGATTAAAGCAAGGTAAACAGAGTCATATCACCTTTACTCATTTCTTTCTTTCTTTCTTTTTTTTTTTTTAGAGACAGAGTCTCACTTTGTCACCTGAGTAGAGTGCTGTGGCATCACAGCGCACAGAAACCTCCAGCTCTTGGGCTTAGGTGATTCTCTTGCCTCAGCCTCCCAAGTAGCTGGGACTGCAGGCGCCTACCTCAACGCCAGCTATCTTTTTCTTACAGTTCGGCTGGGGCCGGGTTTGAACCCACTACCCTCAGTATATGGGGCTGGCGCCCTACTCACTGAGCCACAGGTGCTACCCACCTTTACTCATTTCTGATGGAGTTATTAAAGATGGTTCCATAGGCTCGGCGCCTATAGCTCAACTGGCTAAGGCGCCAGCCACGTACACCTAAGGTGGCAGGTTCGAATCCCCAGCCCGGACCTGCCAAACAACAATGACGGCTGCAACCAAAAAATAGCCGGGCGTTGTGGCGGGCGCCTGTGGTCCCAGCTACTTGGGAGGCAGAGGCAGGAGACTCGCTTGAGCCCAGGAGTTGGAGGTTGCTGTGAGCTGTAATGCCATAGCACTCTACCCAGGGGGACAGCTTGAGGCTCTGTCTCAAAAAAAAAAAAAAAAAAAGATGGTTCCATATATGGCTCAGTGCCTATAGCACAACTGCTAGAGTACCAGCCATATACACTGGAGGTGGCAGGTTCAAACCCAGCCCCAGCCAGCCAAACAACAATGACAACTATAACCAAAAAATAGCTAGGCACTGTGGCGGGCGCCTGTAGTCCCAGCTTCTCGGGAGGCTGAGGCAAGAGAATCATGTAAGCTCAAGAGTTTAAGGTTGTGAGCTGTGACATCATGGCACTCTACCCAGGGCAACATAGTAAGACTGTCTCAAAAGAAAATAGATGGTTCCATATTTACTAAATCAGAAAGCCACAGCTGCTGCCTTAAACAGCTTATAGTGTAGAGATGCAAAAGGAGACAAACCTCTGACCCAAATCACTGATTTTTGCTATATCTTTTCTTCTTCTTAGGTGCTATTTAGTAGGTAAAATTGGGAGACATTAGACTACTTAAATTTATTTATTTTATTTTTTTTTATTATTAAATCATGTTTGTGCAAGACTACTTAAATTTAATGGACACATCATTCTGCCTCTCAACTTCTACTTTACCCTTAAAGTTTTGGTCCTTTAATATAGTAAAGGTTCAGGAAGATGAGCTATCATAATTTTCACATTTATGTGAATGACTCATGCCTCTCTCTTCTACTAGACTTTGATATTCCATAAGGGCAGAGACCATGTTATTCACTGCTAGATCCAAAGTGCCTAGCTTAGTAACTCAATAGCTGTTGAATGAATGAATAAACCTCGTTTACTATTTTGGAATACATTTCAGATTGTTTTAAATTTCTTTTTCCCCTTTAATTAGATATGCAACCATTGTCTCCAATTTCTGTCCATGAACGCTACAGCTCTCCTACAGCAGGGAGTGCTAAAAGAAGACTTTTTGGAGAGGACCCCCCAAAGGATATGCTTATGGACAAGATCATAACAGAAGGAACAAAATTAAAAATTGCTTCTTCTTCAAGCATTGCTACAGAAAATATATCAATTTTACCTGGACAAACTCTTCTAACAATGGCCACAGCCACAGTAACAGGGACAACAGGACATAAAGTTACAATTCCATTGCATGGTAACATTTTAATGCATTTACTTTACATTTTTTCTGAGTTGAATAAAAATTTAAGAAATGTCTTACACTGTATTGGGTCATATGGTCTTTCTAACTCTACCTTTGATTTGTAGGACAGTTACAGGTTCACTGCAAAATTCAGAGGAAGAAGGTACAGACATTTCCTCTATATTCTTCCCCCCCCATGCACATACCTCTCCCACAGAGTGCTACAATTGTTTTAGTACGTGAACCTACATACATCATTATCACCTAAAGCCCATAGTTTACCTAAGAATTTACTCTTGGTCTTGGGTATGGATTTTGACAGTGTACATGACTATAGCATCCTACAAAGTAATTTCACTGTCCCAAAAATCCTCTGTGTGGATCCTTTGCTTTGAACCTATACTGTTTTTTGAATTTTCAAATTTTATAAATTTACTACCCTCTTTGTTAGTATTTATTTTCTTTTCTCAACTTTCCAAATTAGTATATCTCTTTAAGTGCTCAAAAGAAAGCAAAAATTTGCTTTTCTTATTAAATTTAAAATATTAAAACATCACAGGCACATACAAAATAGAGAACAAATTTTACTTTTTAAAATAAATTTGAAATACCAGAACAAAACAGAATATTATTATTTCAGGGCAGAAATAGAAAATTAGAATTCAATCATGCCCTAGAATTACTATTTGTAGCCTTCCTCTCCTTCTTTAACATATTCCTATGCTTATATACATACAGACATCCCCTGTACCAGGGATGCCAAAAAATGTTAACATATGTTGTTATCTATATATTACTTTTTGAAGTTGAATTGAATTATGGTAGCAATGTGTAGTATGACCTTCACTCAAACATGGCGTTAATGGAACGAATGCTAGTGTTAAACCATACAATAGTCAGGACAGTCAAAGAAATTGGTGGAAGTGGGCAGTGCCTGTGGCTCAGTGAGTAGGGTGCTGGCCCCATATACTGAGGGTGGCAGGTTCGAACCCAGCCTTAGCCAAACTGTAACAAAAGAAAAAAAAAATAATGCCAGGGGTTGTGGTGGGCACCTATAGTCCCAGCCTCCCACTCGGGAAGCTGAGGCAAAAGAATTGGCTAAGCCCAAGAGCTGGAGGTTGCTGTGAGCTGTGGTGCCATAGCATTCTACCAAGGGCAACAAAGTTGAAACTCTGTCTCTTAAAAAAAAAAAAAAAAGAAGTAGTCCCAGCTACGGGGGAGGCTGAGGCAAGAGAATCGCCTAAGCCCAAGAGTTAGAGGTTGCTGTGAGCTGTGACACCATGACACTCTACTGAGGGCGATAAAGTGAGACTCTGTCTCAAAAAAAAAAAAAGAAGAAGAAAATAGTGGAAGCACAGTAATTGAAATTTGAAGGTGTTGTGGAAATACACATAGAACCACAATGGAGGCATGAGTATGCAACAGAACCTCCAACACACCTAACAATTACATGCATTCGTGCTAAGTTTGAGACACAATACTGTGAGAAGTACACAGGGAAGATCCAGGAGGTCTTTAATCAACACTGATCAAACAGTAGTTCACCATATTCAGAAGTGCCTGGATACTGATGATAACCACTTCAAGTACCTCTTGTAATTGCAGAAGTTAAACATGACTTGTATTCATCTTTTGTTATTGATATATATTGAGTATTAAAATTTTAATACAGTTTTTTCCTTTCTTAAAATTCATATACATATTTCGGTACCTTCTGTATATAATAGATGAATTTCCTAAAACATCTGAAGCTTATTTCTAAAACTGAGAACTCTTGCTTATACATTTAGGTGTTGCAAATGATGCTGGAGAGATCACACTGTTACCTATCTCCATGAATACAACTCGGGAGTCCAAAGTCAAGAGTCCTGTATCACTTACTACTCAATCGTTAATTGGCTCTTCTCCCAAACCGACCCATCTAACTAAAGCACAAGAGGTACATCCAACTGTAATAAGCAAGCCAAAGAGAACTGGGTCTTTAGCACTGTTTTACAGAAAGGTATGTGTTTTTATAGCTGTTTTATAGTAAGGTATGTGTTTTTAAAGAATTCATTTAATCAGTGGAAGAAAGATGAACTAACAGAGAACAGCTTTGGCCTTTTAAAAAAATTTTTTTTGCAGGGCAGTGCCTGTGGCTCAAAAGAGTAAGGCACCTGCCCCATATGCCAGAGGTGGCGGGTTCAAACCCAGCCCCGGCCAAAAACTGCAAAAAAAAAAGAAAAAAAAATTTTTTTTTTGGCAATACATATAAAATTTACCATTTTACCATTTTTTAAGTATACAGTTTGGTGGCATTAAATAAATTCACATTTTTGTGCAGTCATTACCACCATCCATCTCCAGAACTTTTCATCTTCCCATTCTAGAACTCTGTACCAATTAAATAGTAGGCCTCTACTTCTTTCTCCCCCCTAGCTTCTGGCAACCACCATTCTACTTTCTGTAGTATGTGAATTTGACTACTCTAGGTTCCTCATATGAGTGAAATCATGTAATATTTATCTTTTTTGTGACTGGCTTATTTCACTTATAATGTCGTTAGGGTTCATCCATGTCATATCTTGTGTCAGAATTTCCTTCCTTTTTAAGGCTGAATAATATTTCATTATATGTATGGACCACATTTTGTTTGTTCATTCATCTGTTTTGTTTTGTCTTTTTTTTTTT